ACACACACACACACACATTATATATATAACCCCGAGATCTGCTGATTACAAAGCGATCGTTTTACAGTCAGCAGATCTCGGGTTCAACTCCTCATTCTACATATATTTCGGTTTATAAGAGAGTTTAGAGCTAATAAATTACGAATAAAAACAGTATATCGCATGATCTTATCAATATTCTATTCTGGATCAATTAAGACATGTAATTGTAATTTACTTTGGTTCCATTTATCGGCAAGCCATAAAAGCAATACAACTAAATTGTCATCCAAGAAGGATTTAAATTCATAAATAGCAAATTTTAACAATAAAGATTTGAACTAAAGTATTTATTATTTATTATATTACAACAAAATGACGAGGACTTTGGAATTGTTACACACTTGGAGTAGTAAAGCTAGAAATTAAAGCTTAATCTTTCGTTTGTACCATCTCTAAGCTATTCAGTTCTTACAATATTGACAACAATAATATGGGTAAGCCAAGAAGATGTTTGGACTAATACTGTTCTACGACGGAAAATGAGACATAGAAGAGGAAGTAATGCGATGCATATTAAATTTCAAGAATACTTACTTCAATAATCGGCTCCTCCATATAATGTTTCAGTATGGAGTTATAAGCCTTTGTAAATTCTTGTTCCGACATTGGAGCTTTATGGCTTATAGCCCCAGACTGAGAGGCAGACTTCAATACAGGCGGAAGCATCGAGACTTTCCGGCTTTGAGAATTATCAAGTAATGAATGACTCTCCCTGCTCGAAGCACTACTCGACTGATGAGTGCCGTTACGGGAGTTCCTACCGTCTGTAAAAATAACAGATTTTTGTATAAGAATTACTTGTTCAAAGAAAACGTTTAATGATATATTATCACATAAAAATAAATTGCATATAGGAAAACATACCATACTTGTAATCCCGGCTGCACTCTCTTGGACCAGTTGATCGTGATCTGAAATAACAGATAAAAATATATAAGCGATTGTTCAATATCTTTCTAAATGTTAATGTATAATTTATAAAACATCAGTATTCATTTGTGAAATCATTTAAGTTTTTAGAAGATTCAGAAACTCTAGTCCGTAATTATGTATCATCATAGAAAAGCGCGAAGCATGAGATTAATAAACAGCTGCGACAAAATCCAAAACAATGTGTTGAAAAATCTAAAACTCACCCAGAAAGCGGTAAAGGCGGCATCCTTTTGTCCTGGTCTAAATTGGACATATTTTCTAAGCATGCAAATTTGTTGGAACTTATCGTCTTGGAGTTATTCGACGGGTTAGTAGCCCTCCATAAATAAGATGCTCTGTTGCCAAGTTGCATGTCGTCCATTGGAGGCTGTTGAAAAATAATTTAAAATGCTGGTAAAAAAATTCCATTCTTGAAAATGGTTTCTTATTGCCATTTTTCCACAATGCTAATTGTTTTTCTTGTGTTGCTTACATTAAATTGTGAAACTATCAGCATAGACACTATATTTCGATAGTTGAGCATGATTCCAAAAAATTATTTTTCACTTTTAATTTTACATATTTTATCATTTTAATTCTATGTTGAATACTTTTAACAAATACATTATGCCATCAAATAATTTTATAAAAATAAAAAACTCAAAAATACTGTTTATATTAAATGAGCAATTATATTATTTATTAGATATGATGTATGTGCTTTTGATTGAGAAAAAAATTATAATTTATAAATTACAATATAAAATTTTGTATATCTTTTGTGAAAATTGAGTAAGATAAATGTCGACGGTTAGTGGATATAAAATCCAATTATTACATAAAATAACAAACATTTTAAATATTAAGCTTTTAATAATGATTAAATAAATTTATTTATAACAATTTAATAAGTCAAATTTATTTAGTCATATCATTAAAAGGTTAATATTTCACATTATTGTTATTTTATCCAATTAATTGATACATTTATCTTACATTCCAAAATAATAACTAAAAATAAACATATAATATTAAAACTCTTGACATGAATTTTAGATCTTTTATACTTTAAACTATCGATATACACTGCTAATCCACAATCTATATTACGTACATCATAAATTTTCAGTGTATATCGGAGCGCGGTCTGTGTATATATTTTGAAATGTACGTGCTTATTTTATTTCAATTATTTTCTATCATTATTTTCATATATATAAAAAAATATATATATATATAATAGTGAGGAAAAAATAGTATCATGTTTTGTAGTGATTCTACCAAAAAAATCCTATTTAACATGGTAACATGAAATCAAATAACTAACCGGTTTATTTTTTAGCTTGGCCGTTTCCACTGAATACGTGGCAGGTCTTACTCTTCCTACTGGTTGACTCCAACCATCGTCAGTAGGACCGCCTAGCCCACGATTTCTTTTCCGATCGTTGTTACGATCGTCTTTTCGTGCGGTATTCAGTGGAACGCTGTTCACTTGCATATCAAGACGTTCCGATTCCGCTTCCTTCTGTATTTGATCTATTGTCTTCGGATTGTTATCATTCCTTCTAGGAATCCATTTATTTGCTCTCAAATCGATAACATCTTGAAGCATAAAACGAATCCTAGAACTAATTTTGCTGTGGCCTTTTCGAGCAACAATCTCTTGCATTCTATTGAAGTATTCTTGCATCTCCTATTAGTAAAAAAAAATAAATAAGAAATAAATTTAGATAATATATATTATTGCCAACACGTTTATGTTGGAATATTTCCAACATAAACGTTTTAATTAAACATGAATAATAAAAACAGCATTTTTACATCAGTATTAGCCTGCTGTCCTTTCAATTCCAAATCTTTGCCAATCGTTGTTAACAGTTTGCATAAACATTCCAAATTATCTTCGTCGTTCTGGTCTAGTAGATGACGAATACATCGGTGCATAATTTTCGTTGTTAAAATCTGCTGTCTGTACAACTCGCCAATGAATCTAAACGAATAAGATACGTTTAAGAAAATCATAGTTTGATAAGGATTTTGTATTGTATCATGCAAAATCACAAATAATTGTAAACATATTATGTTCATACAATTATGTAAAACGATTCTAAACATACTTTAACAACTTATGTCGGATAAAAAAAATTTACCTGATATTTCCTACAGATTTAATTCGTATCCTACGCTCCTCTTCTTCAAGTGCCAACTGGAGTTCTTTCTTTTTCTCCTAACAAAGACAATATAACAATTAGATATGAAAACAACATAGCCTCTCTCTATCAGAGAAAAAAAAATAAACAAAATATACAATACAAGATTCTTACCGGATCATTACAATCGTCAATTTCTTTTAGCTTTCGGTTTCTCGCGACATCATCAATTGGATTCTTTTCGAATTCTTTTTGGCAACGTGTAATAATAAGTTTCTTGAAGCTAACGGAACTATCTTGACCCTCGTAGCCTGCAACTTCCATCTGGGCCAGTTCTTTACACAACAATGCATACTCAACGGAAAAGCTGGGTTCGTCGACAGCTTTTTCAAAAACGAGATTAATGACTCCTTGTAGACGTTCTTGCGTATCAATCGGTAAACTTCGAACCTGTTCAACTAATGTGTTGAACTTTTGCGGAGTGAGTTTATTCAATACGCTTCGTACTCTTTTATAAAGGGCTTCCGTTTTTGCCTCTTCCTCAGTTTGATTAATCTGCTTTAATCTCGCCGGTTTCCATGCATTTTCTGTTTCCCTTAGCTTCACGTCCTCTCTTAATGACAATGAAAATGTTATTACATTTGGCTTATTCGGTTTTGGTTTACCCCGACTCTCACTCTTACGACTCGTTGGTGGCTGTAAAACAGGATAAAAAAAAATCTCATCTATATCATGTATCAAAGCTAAGACAATCAATAGAATAATATTACAAAGAATGAACGTTTTAATCAGAAGGTATGGATTATTCGTCAAAAGATTTCAGACCACTACTTTCGTTATGCGGCATCACTTATCTTGTCTTTCTTTTTTCTTCCGTATGATAAAAAAATTATCGCAAGCATTTTATTTTAATTTTACTTACCGGACGTGTACTTATATTTGCCTTTGCAAATCCTGGCATTAACGAATCATGCCTAGTAATGTTAGCATCCTTAAAAGCCCTCAAGTCCATAGTATTATGCGTATTCTTTAAAAATCAAACATGACATACGTTATAAAACGATAGTTATGAAGCTTACATGTGCATAAATTATATACACGAAGAAGTAACTCATACCTGTAAGCTATCTTTCAAAACAGCTTGTAAATTTGGTAGATTAGCTGGCTTTTGTTTACTGTTAGGATCAAACTGTAAACGTAACAGGAATTCCCGATCATAGGACTTCCTTCCGGTCATGTTGACCGGACTCCACTGGCCCTCTTTGTACAAATACTTGAGTAATGGAGGAGCCGCCTTATTAACGCTAGGTGCAGCGATTTCAGCCGGGGCATTACCGCTATCACTGGAAACCTCGACTTCTTGCTTCTTCTCTGTATTCACGGATGGAATCGTCGTCGCTTTTTCGTCGTTGGACGCATGAAGAGCCGACACCTTAAAGTTTTCTTCATTTTTCTGCGCGACCATTGCTTCCAAGTGCATCTCTTCGATGACCGCCGCGTGATCGACGACGTCATTTGGATTTGTCGCAGGAAGAGCATTAAACGTACTATCCTCCGACTTTGTCGAAGATTCCTTGCTAGTCGGAGGCTTTTCTACAACGTGAGATGCCTGTTGCGCGGGAGTGCTGTCCTTAGACACTTCCGTGGATACATGTTTCTCGGTTTTTACGTGAACCGGCAAAATCTCCTTCTCCTTCTTCGACTCATAATTGTCTTTTTCTTTGATGTCCTTGCTGATCTCTCTACTGGGTTCTTTATTACTGTCTTTCGGGGCGGGTGCGTGCTGCTCCTTGTTGTCTTGCTTGATCTCCGCTGTTTTCGCTGTTGATACGGTATTTACAAAGGCATCCATGTCCGTGCCTTCCTTCTCCGCGCCTTTGCGATTCAATTCGCGGAGTTTTACTTTATTTTTGCTTTTTTGTTTCTGCATAGCTTTACCTGGAGAACACAAAAAGAAATACACTGATGAGGCACGCTACGACTTATACGGAAATATAAGTATGACGAGAGAAAAAGAGATCGCGTGTATAATTTTAAGAAATGCAATACATTAGTTGCATTCAGCAGAAAAAGCAGCTTTCCAATTGCAAGATTTTTTAATACTCTCCAAATTCTTTGGAGTAAATGTCACTCTAAAGAGAGAAAATTGAGCCTATCTTGAAAAAGAGTGAATCTAATTAAACAAGAGAAATCTTATATTCGGTCAAAGCGGAGCTTAGTGCTTAAATATTTTGGTAAGAATTTATCTATATATCCAATTCTGTAGACCGAAATAATTTTCGATCTTGAAATGTAATCATGAACAAAACCAGAATAGTATCATTAACGAGTAATTTAATACTTTTTTTATGAGAACAAGCATTTTATAAGAATATTAATAATTTGTTAATAAGACTCTTAAAAACCGCAAATAATTTTTAATGGTTCAATTTTCAATCACGAAGAGTGAGATTTCATTCTTTAGAGAGTAACAATTCACTGTAAAAGTTTTAGAGAGTATGATAGGTCTTGTCCGCAGATCTTCACTGGATCTAAACGTACAAACCAATCATATCAAAGAATCGTACGACAGTTACAAAGTTGCTTCCTCTGCTCAACGCAATCATTCACAATCGCTCCACTACATTTATCCACCTATCTTATATTTATCGATTATTATCAACGATCGGATCAAAAGCTCGAGAGGAAGAAACGAAAGCCATTCGCACTTGGCTCGTTTCTTTCCTTCGAGGCAGACAGCTGAATCTTTCTGGACTTTTAGAAGCTTTCATTCAACGGGGAAAGCTCTCGCCGCGTATCGGCGTACGTGCCAAGTCCAGAACAGCGCTTGTACCGTGATCTCTCGGTCGCCCATGTTTCGCGTGAGTTGTACCGCCGCGCGCGCACGTGCAACCTCACATCTTCGGATGGCTCGAGTTTCCGATGGCCGCGCATACGAGCGCGCGGGGCACTGATTCAGTATTTATTTATAAATCTGCCAAATCCCTGCCAAACTCGGCGTAGATGCGACACGTAAACGCGACGATGCGCAGCAACGACAACGGGAAGAATCGCATCATCGACGAGATGGCGACGACGACAACGTCGTTATTGTTGCCGTCGATCAGCGAGCATATGATGTTCGGTGATCTCCTTCTCGGCGGTGGCGTTCAGAGGTCGACGGCGAGGTTGGGGAATGAATCGCGTTGAATTCGCGAGGTCTGGGCCTCTAGGTTTTGAAATTCGATCCGAGGAAACGTCGCCGCCGACGACGACGATAATCGATGAGGATAATGATGATTGATCCGCGCAACAAATCAACAGCGTCCGCGAACGATTGTCCCCGACTGAAAGACACTTTGGAAAACCCTCGGGCCTGGCCGGCCGCGACGCCCGACGACTTTCACGCATCTATTTTAACCTGTGAACTGGCGCAAACCGACAGGCACGACATAGGATTTCTTAAATTAGTTCCGTTCGGTCGGTTTGCGCCGGAGCAGGCGCACTGAGTGCAATTTCAACGGCTCGACCTAAAGCAGCGTCTACAATGAGATTTTAAGATGTAAAACTTCAGTTTTAAGCCTTAAAATATTGATCAATCATAGTCGATTGTTCTCCTCACTTTCGGTTGCAATCGGTCAATTTCTTAAGTTTTAGGCCTTAAAATCTTATCGATGCCACTTGAAGCAACGTCTGTAACGAGATTTTAAGGCGTAAAACTTCAGTTTCAAGCCTTAAACTATAAAAATCGATCAGTCAGTCGATTGTTCTCACTTTCGACTGTGGTTGGTGAATTTCTCACGACTTGAAGCTTGAATTTTATCGCACGGAAAAGATTATCCTTAAATTAAATAATATGCTCATATAAACAAAAATCTTGCTTTAAAGATTTTAGTATTGTTGCAAGATTTTGATTGAGTCCTGAATGGAAAGTCTTGAATGCAAAGTAATATTTGCATCAATACAAATTCAATCACGACTGAAAACCTTGCAGCAAGATTACAATATTTTTGCTTATGTATGAGCATATTATGGTTGATTTAAGAATAGTCGTTCTTTCTGTGCAGACGCCGTTTAACTCAAAAGCGTTCGTGTCCATGCATAAATATCATCCGAAAAAATTCCTACGTCCGCTCCCGTGTGCCATGGTTTACTCATCACGATCTCTCGGGTGAAAAGAGCGTCTCCTTCCTCCCTACTCTGTCGAATCGGTCGAGATTTAATTCAATTTAAATTATTGCAAGTGCAAAAGGTGAGACGCCAGCAAAACTGCTGTTATAAATCTGCCTGATAATATCGACCCCTCATAAAAAACATTTTGGAATCAAATTAGAATCCAGTTCGATTTTCTCCAAAAGAACAAAAATTATAGATTCTGATTTGATCTATGAAGATTTAGATCAGAAGTGTAACGGTTTGTAAACTGGATCATAAATGGAAAATCTAAAAGAATCTTATTGGTTCTTCTCAACGGTTTCTGAAAGTATTTTTCCAGACTTATATTTTGTCAGAATTAAGCAAAATATTAAAACACTTGACTATTTATACTTTAAGTATATATATGTATATAAAATATTCAAGAAATTTAAATATCTGTTCAAAGTACAATATAAATACAAAATAATAGTAACATGATATGACTGACAGAAATATTAGGATAAAAAAAAGAATTTTTTTATTAAACACAACGTGCCGATTCTTTTTCGATCGATGGATCCTCTCGAAATGGCGAGCCTTAAACCGGCTAATTATTGTGGGCGATATTTCGCGCATTCACCATCTTCGGTACCGGTCTTTAATTCGATTCTCGATGCATGAAAGTAGGTTGGTCGCGTTTTATAAAAGCGGGTCGTGGACCGCAAAACTCCATCTTCCGTCTTTCCTTCTCTCTTTTACAATAAATGTACTTTAGATATTTTTTAATGCATAGAATATTAAATTAACTTTTTTTCTTCGAAACATTACATAGTGTCTGTTCGTGTTACACTTTTTGCACTCAGTATCTTCGCTTTCTCTCCCTCTCTTCAATGCTCGAATATATATATCTATACAACAGAAAAATCCATACTGTATGCTAATAATAAATATTTGTTTCAAATATTTCCAAAGTTCATATATTCGCAAATCTATCATTGAATTTATCATAAGCATCGAATTTATTCAAAATACTTATTATATTCTAAATCCTAGTAAATGTAATGCTTCGATCAAGAATATTAAATTAAAACAAATCGAATTGTTTACCATATAATGTCGCTTCTTTGATCAATTTTATATTTTTGAAAAGAAAATAAGTCCTCTAAACATTGAAAATTGAAAAATAAATGACAAATGAGCAGTTGAGAATTAGTACTGTAGACGGTGTGTAGTTTGCTTTGAAAAAGTTTTATCTCAAATAAAAATAGTTAACAATTGTACAAGTATAGGCTGCTATCCTAGTTGCTATCTTAGTTGCAGTCCAAACCAAAAGAAAAATAATTACAGTAAATTGTTATCAGGTCGAAATCATTGTGAGGCGGTGATCATTCTTCCATTACAGAATAAACTCTTCAGTTGAAAAGATGGGTGGCAGTGAATGACTAGGAATCCCACAATGATGTAACCGACGATTATAATAGTCGTTAAATATTTCATCTTAAAGTTAATAATCGCAATACTGTTACAGACGTAGTCAATGAATAAAAGCATATCGAAATAAAAGAAACGGTGATCCACATCACTGTCAAATTATGTTAATAATTGAAGATGAAAAAAATCAAGTTTGATGCAAAATTAAGGCAGTGTTGGAATTCTATGAAAATTGAGTGAATTTTGAAAAAGTGGCTCGATTTTCGATCTTTAAGAATAAGATTTACTCTAAAAAATTTTAGAAAGTACTCTTATCTTCTTTAACGTTCAAAAATTTGTGAAGATGTTAACGTGGATAGATCTTATGCTAAAATATTGAGTGTGCAACGAGAAAGTAGTGATATCTCAAAGCATAACTAAATCACAACACTTTATTGGCTATAATTGGCCAACGTTAACCACGATGAAAGATTATAAAGTGGAGCATTGTCTAAACGGTAGTCACTAATCTCAATCGGTGACTGACTGCTTTGCTCTGATAGGTTGAAAAGTAATAACCAATCGCGATTCAAACGGCAACCGCTAGTGTGATTACAGCTTAAGAGCGAATCATTCATCGTGCCCTCTCTTACGAAGGAGATTTGATCCCGTGGAGATAAATAAAAACCGCGAGACGATGAGAATCGCGTCTCTGAAAACGCGATGACGCGGATTTTAGGAGGGAACGATATAATTAGATGGTGAGTTCGCGGAGGAAGTCTTACGTGCGAGGGAATCATTTATCGCTGTCGGACATCGACGGAGCTCAAAGAGCATCGCGCCTCGACGACGGAAAAAGTTTCGCGCGCCGATACATCCCGTCTACTCCGATACGTTTATCAATACGCCATTTCCAATGAAGTTGCTAAGAGAATCATAGTTTTTCTTCCCTCGATGAAACGTCAGGTCTTTCTTGGATTAAAATGAACTCCTGCCCCTTCGTTTCTATTAATATAGATTAACTTCAACATTAATCTCCGTTGAACTTAACTCTTCATCTTTTTCTAATTCTAAGTATATTAGAACAAAAATGAAGAGTAAGTTCAATTAGGATTAAAGTTAATCTATGTTGGTAGAAACGGATATTAATGTCTCGAATGTGTCTAAGTGTTAAAAAAGGCCACATCTGTGCCTCAATACAAACATCAGAGGCTAATATCACATTTCTCACGCAACAAATTTTTCATTTTTCAAATTTTCCAAGCTAATTGGTTGCAGGAAAAGTTCTCAGATCTGTCGGTCCAATCAACAGGCTTTAAAAGTTTGTTGTATAAGAAATTCTAGCCTAATACCTGTTTTCTATCAATGTAGATTAATTTTAATCTCAACTTACTTTTCATCTTTTAATTCTT